GTGAGGCAATCACTGGTATAGCGCGACGAAAGAAGAGGCCGTTCTCGGAGAAATATTCTCCATCGTCAGATGATAGAGATTTTTCGACCGTTGCTTTGAGTTCTGCGTCGACTTGTTGAGCTTTAATGATGTCTTCCTGAGATATCCTCAGGGGTAAGCCCAGACTTGTGTTTTCTGGAAGCATAGACTCCAATTTGGGAGTCGAATTTCTTGACGATGATGGTAGGTGTGGTTCAGACGTTATGTCAGCCAATTGTTTGGTTTGGCTTCTTGTCACCGCGCATGCAGGATACAGTTCATTATCATTATCTGGAACTGTTGACAAAGGGTCTGAAACCGTACAGGGGTATACTTTGCTTCCCGCAAGGTCATTCCCTAGAAGTAGGTGTACTCCTGGGACAGGAATACTATCTATCACACCTAAAATGACCTCACCTTCGACGAGATGATGTTTCAGGGCAAACTTGTGTAGAGGGACTACAGTAGATTTTGTCCCCACTCCCTGGATAATGGAAATCCTTCCGGTGTTCGTCTCAGGTGTAATGTCCATTGAACTTTTCAAAAGGAGTGATTGTGACGCTCCTGTGTCTCTTAGGACGGTGATATTCCGCTGAGACAACGGATCACCTGGTTTGCTAATGATGGCTTCGGCAATAAAAGATGAAAAGTCAACTTTTCTCGATCCCTCGAGATCGGTAGACTCGGAAGAAACTGGATGGTGGCGAGAACAGTCAAAATGTGACTGCACATAATGTGTGGAGACTTGACTACCTTCTTGCGGACACTTAGGGTTAGAGTCCTTTAGAATTCTAGAGTTCATAGTTGAACTGGCTGCTTGAGGGGGTAGAGCATAGTGCGCAGAAGTACGCACCACCTCTCTGTTATATTGACGACGTTTGTAACAGTCCTTGACAAGATGACCAGGCCTTTTGCAGAACTGGCATACTGCTCGACGATTGAGAGTTGATCTTGGTTTCTCTCTGGACTGTAATGCCTTCACGTGTTGGCCAACAGGAGGATTGCTGCCAAAAAGGGGAAGCACAGGGTTGAGGCGGTTTCCTGACACTGGTGGTTTCTTATGCACCAACATATATGTGTCAGCCGACTCAGCAGCCTTCTGGATGTCAGTTATCTTGTTATCCAGTATGTGTAGTCGTATCTCTTCAGGCAGGGACGATAGGAATTCTTCCCTTAGGATAAGTGACCTGAGTTTCTCAAACTCAGAAACTTCCTCAGAGTGTAGCCACCTTGAGAATATTTTCTCCTTTTCAAAGAGAAATTCCACATATGATTGAGTGGGTGACTTGCGGAGTGTTCGGAATTTTGTCCGATAGGCCTCGGGCGTCAGTGCGTAGGCCTTCAAAATGGCAGTCTTGACCAAACTATAGTTATTTTGAACGTCGTGAGAGAGTGCCTGGTATGTTTTTGCAGCTTTCCCAGTAAGGACCGAACTCAATAAAGCAGTAATGGAAGTTTCGGGCCATTCACATGTCTTCGCTAAACTCTCAAATGAGTTAAAGAAAACGACCAAATCTGTTTCATCAAATTTAGGAACTAATTTCCCAAATTTGGCAATCACTTGCCCTACCGACAACTTTTTTGGATCTACCGGAGAAGTGACATCACTAACTTGACCAAACTCTAATTCCAACCTCCTCTTATCTAAAGCAATTTTAGCCTCTAACTCCTTTTCTTTTAATAAAAGCTCTCTCTCTTCTAGAGATTTCTCCTCGCGGAGTAATACATCCGCCAACAAACTTTCATCAAATACACCTTCATTAATGAAATGAACAACAATTTTATCTCTCAACACCTCTGACTTCTGCGTAACAGAATAATCCAATTTCAATTCCTTAACAACACTAACCAAAACTTTTCTACTCAACTTCTCTACATCTTCAACCGTGGGATTAGCCAAAAAAGATTCCATGACGCTAACTTTCAAAATCAAAACAAGCCTAGAGTCTCTAAATTAACACGGAGCGTTGGGCCGTGTACTTGACCTCCTATCGTGACACGTCTGGCTGTTGACCTAGATAACTCTATGCTTGCGCGCGCGTTGTAAGAACACTGCGCTACTGGATATAAAAACAACTAAATCCAACTAACCTTAGTATTTAACTGATATGACCAACAACTGGAACGACAGATTAAATCTCGGCGAGCCCCCACTTTGTAACGTCCCCTATCTATCAGCCAAATAGACGGTGAACGTCCCCGGATTCTTTTTTCGGGATCATATGCAAATGCCTTACGGCCTAAGTGGATGAACACTAACACAACGGCACACTAGGGCTCGAATTCTATGTCTAGGGTAAACTAGTGATACTATTGTAATTAACACTCATCCAATCTACATACAACTTTAATCAGCGAACACAGTTGTGGCAAAACACAAGGTTGAACTAGTTAAAATATTTAATGTATAAAATATCAAAACACAACTTACAAAATGTAGGAAAAACACTATCACAGATTTCTACACTGTCTAAATAACTACAGGCCACACAACACTGCTATAGCTTCTGGAATAACTCAGCGACGAGTAATATTATACTAGAAGCCTAAATCAACTTAAGAAAGCAAGGCACACACAGGACTTAATTTCTCTCACGTTCAAATGGTCAGAGTCTATAGCCGGACAATATGGACGGCCTGGTCTGATCAAGGTAAAATCGCCCTGTAGACTGCCTGCGACAAGTCTCAAATGGAGACTCACAGATCACTCAAGGCCACTTGAGCTACTGTTATCGTGCTGGTTGTGTTTCCTATGGTGTGACACTTTACGTGGTTCTAACCACTAGGCCACTAGTGGTGTTCCTAACCACTATGCCACACTACTCGGCAGCCAGCCGAGTTTCTAAGCCACTAGACCACTAGGCACCATAGACTCTACTCAGTTTCTCACCGAGTATTCGAACCTCGGCCGCCGCCGTGGCGCGCCGAGATCCTAGCCATTGAGCTATGGGGTAGTCATCTGACCAGAATCATTCAATCAGATCTTAATGGAAAATTTCTATGTCTTAGACCCCTTAATAAGTCAGTGGAAATTTTCCGGTTGTTGCACAATCACTCCATATAAGGAATTATACAATGTCAAAATAAAAATAGAACCTGACTCGACCTAAGTAGGTCACAATGTGTAGCAACGGACTAAAAAGGAGAAAATAAAATACTTAAAAAAAACTTTTTAAAAAACCACGTTTTTCTTGTGGACTAAAAAGTAGAAAATAACTATTTACATACATTTGATGACAAAAAACGTGGGTCGGGCAGATGGGTCGGGAAATTTGATGGTGAACGTTGCCACGTTTTTTGTCATCAAATGTATGTAAATAGTTATTTTCTACTTTTTAGTCCACAAGAAAAACGTGGTTTTTTAAAAAGTTTTTTTTAAGTATTTTATTTTCTAACGGCTCCCAGAAGAGAATTATATATATATAGATTCAAGGCTTATAAGATTTTCTATCTCTTAGTATTTAAAAATAATGTTATAATAATTGTAATGTTAATCTTGTCAATAGTAATAATAATAATTATTAACAATATTGTTTAAAGTAAACATAACTGACAATATGAACTATTTAACATAGTGTCGAATTTAGATACATCTTCTTGCATTATCTTCCAAGTATTTTTTGTGCGTATAAGACCGTTAGAAAAAGAAAATTGAGATTATAAAACTTCGACTGTGTGTTATGCGGTACTTTAAAAAAAAATTAAACTAAATGTCTTTTCCTAACAAAAGTGACTCAAAATATTCAAGCAAGATAACCTCTGCATTAAAACAACAAACAAACGATGAAAGCAATAATCATGTAATTAATTGCATACAATTTAGCTGTAGGCCTACTTATTTCATAAATTTTAGATTAAAAAAAATATTTTAATTTGGACTACAAGCCCAAAATAAATATAATTGTTGACAAAAGTGTTTTATAAATAAGCGGTTATTTAATACGTAAATTAATGTTTTATTTAGTTTTTCGATCAGTTTGAAATAAATTTGTACAAAAGAATTATTCATTATTTTACGTTAACTATCAAGTGACAAATTTCATTTTTGTTCCTCGTAGAGTTTAGTTAGACCATCACTTTTTAAAAATAAATTCCACGGGAAGCTACCATTATTAAAGAAAATATAAAAGTAAATACTTGATTATTCCCCTTTGACCGTTGAAAAAAAAATTGACTTAAAAAATCTTGATAGTACAAAATACGTAGACGAAATTGAAAGGTCGTAAAACTAACACACCCCTCCTAGTAACTAAGATCACTGATATTCAAACTTGTATGAACTCACCGTGACCCCAAGTAAATAGTTGGTGCTGTTTGGCTGGGGGGGGGGGGGGGGATAAAAGTACAGTTCATGCTATGACGTCTTGGTGCGCGGACCTTTGACCACCACAGGTCAAAGCCCCGCTGTGGTCAAACCCCCTATGGTCAAAGCACCTGTGCTCAAAGCACCTAGGACCGACGTATTAGACTGCGCTGCAAGCCAAAAACATTAAACCAATTATTACATTTGACTTTATTATTTATGAGTGTGTGTGTGTGTGTGTGTGTGTGTGTAAATAAACCATGGTTTACCGTAACTTTAGTTACCGAAACTCAACAAACATTACCCAATAATTTCCGACACTAAACTAAGGTTTTACCTGAAAGGTTTTAAGTAAGACTGTAATATTTAATTTCATATAGATCTATGTGATAATCATAGAAATGCCTCCGCCAAATGTTAAGTAGTTTAAAGAACCCTCATTGTCTGGTGACGTTTCTGCTCTTTCGGCCAATTTTGGGATACCAAATGTATACTATTCTGCGAGTTTGTCCACATTATCACCAAGATGCTAAACGGTGCAAAGATAACCGCTTATATTAACATATAGACGTGCATAATTAAAAATTGTGAAATTATTAGTAGTAGAGTAGGACTACTGCTATCTTAGTTATTTTGGACATTTTTCTGGTAACTGGTCCGTTGCAATCTTCAATAATGAAGTTTAATTTTAAACTTAAAAAAAAATGATTTCAAGTGACTTTCATTATTCGCACTTTTATAAGTTTTGATTTTTCGATTCTAGAATTACAGATCTAGATTCTAGATCTAGATTTTCTAGATCTATATCTATGTTATGTGGTAGGCCTGCCTATTTTTAAACAATCGTATTAAAACTTTTCAGTACAAAATAAAGACTAGCGATGTTTTCATCAGATGCAACCAAGCATTTTAAACTATTTTAAACACTGTTATCAGTGTGTTATGCTAATAAATAATTAGTAATAAATTATTATGTATGACTTGCCCTAAACCTAAACTAAATAAAATTAGTAAATAAAGCGGAATAAATTACTAAATAAAAAAAGTACTAAATAAATGATTATTCCAGTCCGGTAGGCCTAGGCTAATCTATAAAAATTAAATCGTTTTATTATTTATTAATTTATTAAGTTTCGAAGTGACTAATCGGAAGAAGATTTTTATCCCCAACGTCTCCACTTAGTCAGCAAAAGATAGCTCTACGCATGCGCAGTGACCTATGCCCTATGGCTAGGGTTAGAGTTAGGGATAGGGGATAGGATTAGGGCTAGGTTAGGGTTAGGATTAGGGATAGGGTTAGGAATAGGATTAGGGTTGGTGTTAGGGTTCTGCGGTTGTAAACACATGCATGCGCAGTACCATGGCTAGTCGTAGTTTCTCTCCATTGCGCATGCATATCTTTTTCTGGCTAGCATCGGCCTTTAAGTTTTAGATTCGCGACTAGATCTAGTAATGTGAAAAATAGGTGACTCCTCAAATTTTAATAATTATTTCACATTTTGAGGAAGATTTATGTTTTGAAAAATACAAAAATGTTTCCTTGTTTCATTTATGTACCTGTTTTTAAACAATTGAATTAAAACTTTTCAGTAATAAATGAAGACTTTTTCGTACATTACTAGCCGCGGGCGATTTTAAGTACCTAAAACAATAGATTACCTCCAGTCCTTCTTACTGTTTTAGTAGATCTAGATCTGGGCCTAATCATTTTTATTTTACTAGGCTTAGATCTAGATCTAGTTGTCGCAAATCTTCTGCAAGTTTTTATTTCTGTGTTTTTAAAAAAAAAAACCATTAATTACTACACTCGACTGTATTATTAATATTTAGATCTAGGTTTACTAATTGTTGCTAATTGTCTGTCTATTAAGCATTAAATTAAGTTAAAACATTAATTTTATACACTCAACTTTATTTATATTTCAACGGTCAAATAAACAATGGGTAATTACAGTAACGAATGTTTACGAAACTCAACAAACATTACCGGATAATTTCCGACAATATGTCGTGAGATTACCAAAATTTGTTACTGTAGGCCTATATATAACTTTCGTATTATTTTTAGATCTAGATCTATATTAGTATATTCTATATGAGTTCAGTTCAGTACATGTAATATTATAGGCCTATATTATAATTTTTAGGCTCAATGTTAATCCATCGTTTTATGTAGGCAAAAAGAGAATTGAATGTCTAAATGTTTCAGGTGCGTAAAATCACACTAGCCGTGGCAGATTTTATGCACCTGAAACATTTAAACATTCAATTCTCTAAGTTGCCTCATTGTTAAGGCTTTAATAGAAGTATATTGTGATATATTGGTGACAAATATTAGGCCTATAGATAACTAGATAATAAACCAAAATCAATGGCTAAATATATCAGTATAGGCTTAGGTCGCAATTATGATCTTTAAACAGCAGTGTTTGCAAGCAAGATTTGCTATATAAACAGCGGCCTTCTGTAAATTAGAGTGGTTTCCCCTGAAATCCTAACTACGATGTACCAAAAAAAACTTAAAAAGTGTCAGCTAAGTTAACAAGCATTATTACATCTGATGAAAACACGGCTAATTTTTATTTATTTTTAAAAAGTTTCAAGGTTGGTCTTCATTCCTAAAACGATATATTTACCATTAGGCCTAAGTCCTTATGTCAATAATAAAAATATCAATAAAATAAATTCATTCAATTTAATATGCTGATGCTAATCTCATTTTCTAGTTTTTCAACATTTCAACATTTTTCCGATTAAAAATGTCTTCATATTGTCGGCGGCGCTTTGTTTCTAAGTTATTTTTTCAAAACTTTGGTAAACTTCAACCTAAACCAAAGTCAGAGAGAAGAGATCAAGACACAGGATTATCCTGTAACAGTCATAAGGTAGAGTTGTTCTTGATTGATGGGGAATGGTTTAGAAGTTGTCCCTGGTCCACATAATGGCATGATAATCAAATCTTTTTTAAAAAAGGGGTGTTAGATTACTGGTGGTCAACTAAATATACATAGGACATATGAGTTGCTAATCTCAATGCTTAAACTATCCCTTACCTAACCACAACACGTCATTTCTAACCATAAAACTTAATTTGAGATTATAAAACTTTGGACAGCCTTACACCCCTAGTTTTGGCATAGTCTATTGTTGGACATCAGTCGCACCAATCACCCTAGTTGATCTTGTTGGTTGGCTCTCATTTGCCTCACCTGTCTTGCTGACTCCTTATGACTCCCTCACTTATCTCACTGACTCCCACTGGCATTACTGACTCTCCACCTCTCACTGACTCCAACTTATCTCAGTGAGTCCCACTTGTGTCAATACTCTATCCTTTCAGTTGATGTTGTATAATGATGTTATAGCCCAAAGCCATAGTGGAGGCTTCCACCTGCTGCCCCTGGGCCTGAGGTCTTTAGAGAAGCTGACCAGACTGGTGGATGAAGAGATGCAAGCCATTGGGGCACTCAAGATATCACTTACCACTTTAGCACCAGAGGCTCTTTGGAAGCAGTCAGGTCAGACCTTGTGTTGGTCTGTTAGGTCAGACCTTGTGTTGGTCTGTTAGGTCAGACCTTGTGTTGGTCTGTTAGGTCAGACCTTGTGTTGGTCAGGTCAGACCTTGTGTTGGTCTGTTAGGTCAGACCTTGTGTTGGTCTGTTAGGTCAGACCTTGTGTCTGTTAGGTCAGACCTTGTGTCTGTTAGGTCAGACTTTGTGTTGGTCTGTCAGGTCAGACCTTGTGTCTGTTAGGTCAGACCTTGTGTCTGTCAGGTCAGACCTTGTGTCTGTCAGGTCAGACCTTGTGTTGGTCTGTTAGGTCAGACCTTGTGTCTGTTAGGTCAGACCTTGTGTCTGTCAGGTCAGACCTTGTGTTGGTCTGTCAGGTCAGACCTTGTGTTGGTCAGGTCAGACCTTGTGTCTGTTAGGTCAGACCTTGTGTCTGTCAGGTCAGACCTTGTGTCTGTCAGGTCAGACCTTGTGTTGGTCTGTTAGGTCAGACCTTGTGTCTGTTAGGTCAGACCTTGTGTTGGTCTGTTAGGTCAGACCTTGTGTCTGTTAGGTCAGACCTTGTGTCTGTCAGGTCAGACCTTGTGTCTGTTAGGTCAGACCTTGTGTCTGTCAGGTCAGACCTTGTGTTGGTCTGTTAGGTCAGACCTTGTGTCTGTCAGGTCAGACCTTGTGTCTGTTAGGTCAGACCTTGTGTTGGTCTGTTAGGTCAGACCTTGTGTCTGTTAGGTCAGACCTTGTGTCTGTCAGGTCAGACCTTGTGTCTGTTAGGTCAGACCTTGTGTCTGTCAGGTCAGACCTTGTGTTGGTCTGTTAGGTCAGACCTTGTGTCTGTCAGGTCAGACCTTGTGTCTGTTAGGTCAGACCTTGTGTTGGTCTGTTAGGTCAGACCTTGTGTCTGTTAGGTCAGACCTTGTGTTGGTCTGTTAGGTCAGACCTTGTGTCTGTTAGGTCAGACCTTGTGTTGGTCTGTTAGGTCAGACCTTGTGTCTGTTAGGTCAGACCTTGTGTTGGTCTGTTAGGTCAGACATTGTGTTGGTGTGTCAGGTCAGACCTTGTGTTGGTCTGTTAGGTCAGACCTTGTGTCTGTTAGGTCAGACCTTGTGTTGGTCTGTTAGGTCAGACATTGTGTTGGTGTGTCAGGTCAGACCTTGTGTCTGTCAGGTCAGACCTTGTGTCTGTCAGGTCAGACCTTGTGTTGGTCTGTTAGGTCAGACCTTGTGTTGGTCTGTTAGGTCAGACATTGTGTCTGTCAGGTCAGACCTTGTGTCTGTTAGGTCAGACCTTGTGTCTGTCAGGTCAGACCTTGTGTCTGTCAGGTCAGACCTTGTGTTGGTCTGTTAGGTCAGACCTTGTGTCTGTTAGGTCAGACCTTGTGTCTGTTAGGTCAGACCTTGTGTCTGTCAGGTCAGACCTTGTGTCTGTCAGGTCAGACCTTGTGTTGGTCTGTTAGGTCAGACCTTGTGTTGGTCTGTTAGGTCAGACCTTGTGTCTGTCAGGTCAGACCTTGTGTTGGTCTGTCAGGTCAGACCTTGTGTTGGTCTGTTAGGTCAGACCTTGTGTCTGTTAGGTCAGACCTTGTGTCTGTCAGGTCAGACCTTGTGTTGGTCAGGTCAGACCTTGTGTTGGTCTGTCAGGTCAGACCTTGTGTTGGTCTGTTAGGTCAGACCTTGTGTTGGTCTGTCAGGTCAGACCTTGTGTTGGTCTGTTAGGTCAGACCTTGTGTCTGTTAGGTCAGACCTTGTGTCTGTCAGGTCAGACTTTGTGTTGGTCTGTTAGATCTGACATTTGATGTCTATAGCAGTCATGTCAACTGTTTTGTCATTAGCCCAGGGGGGGAACTACAGTGCCGCCAGACCCCGCAATGCGGGGGAGGGGGGCCCATAGCCGACCATAATAAATTTTTACAGTTATAATTTTCTTGCATTTTTGACTTGACGGTAAAAGCTTTTGTAAATAACAAAAATATCTACTACAGTAGTGATGTTATACAGTAGCTAACAAATGCTGTTGCGTAAAAAATATATATGCCTGAGCTGTAGTGTAAAAGATAGGCAAACGTTCAAAACACTTCCATGACTTATTTCCCTTTTTTAAATAATTAAAAAAGTTCCTTTTAAAAATATTTTTGTACTAAACAAATTACGAATACAAAGCTTTCACGCTTTATATTCTTTTGACCTGCTATAGTCAAGGGGGTAGGCAGTATGACATCAAACATATTGAATAAACAAGTTCTAAATCTTAAAAAAAAATAAAATTCAAAACCGACTAATGCATGACATGTTGTAATTTGTTTAAATTTAAATTTTTAAATTTTTTTTCAAAACCCGATCTGGCCAGAAATGACAATCCAATGTTTGTATTCTGCGTTTGTGTATGTGTGTGGATATATATATATATATATATATATATATATATATATAGGGGGACCCAAAAATTTTTTTGCGGGGTGGTCATTTTTTCTAGTTTTGCCACTGCATTAGCCAATCAACTTTAGACAAAATTGTTCTGCTTAATAAAAATAAAAATTAGCAATTAAAAAAAAGATAAGCTTGGAGAGCTTGAATGGAAATTAAAATTAGCTTAAGATAATTGTAGTATCATCTACTTAATCAACTTAAATTATGATAAAATGGGGGGGGGGGGGGGTCCTACATATCATGAATTTAAAATTTTTTAGCTTAAATGAAAGGATTATAAGATGTAGGCTAACTATAAGCTAGGTAAACTCTAGAAGCAGAGGATTATAAGATGTAGGCTAACTATAAGCTAGGTAAACTCTAGAAGCAGAGGATTATAAGATGTAGGCTAACTATAAGCTAGGTAAACTCTAGAAGCAGAGGATTATAAGATGTAGGCTAACTATAAGCTAGGTAAACTCTAGAAGCAGAGGATTATAAGATGTAGGCTAACTATAAGCTAGGTAAACTCTAGAAGCAGAGGATTATAAGATGTAGGCTAACTATAAGCTAGGTAGAAGCAGAGAGAAAACATGATCCACTTTTGTTCATTGTCAGGGAGGTTGACAGAGGCTGGAGCTGAGTTGTTTACACTACAGGACAGGCACAAGCACAACTACTGTCTGGGACCTGTAAGTCTGGGACCCTACTGTCTGGGACCCTACTGTCTGGGGCCCTACTGTCTGGGACCCTACTGTCTGGGACCTGTAAGTCTGCGACCCTACTGTCTGGGACCCTACTGTCTGGGACCCTACTGTCTGGGACCCCACTGTCTGGGACCCTACTCTCTGGGACCCTACTGTCTGGGACCCTACTCTCTGGGACCTTACTGTCTGGGACCCTACTGTCTGGGACCCTACTGTCTGGGACCCTACTCTCTGGGACCCTACTGTCTGGGACCCTACTGTCTGGGACCCTACTGTCTGGGACCCTACTGTCTGGGACCCTACTGTCTGGGGCCCTACTCTCTGGGACCCTACTGTCTGGGACCCTACTGTCTGGGACACTACTGTCTGGGACCCTACTGTCTGGGACCGTACTGTCTGGGACCCTACTGTCTGGGACCCCACTGTCTGGGACCCTACTGTCTGGGACACTACTGTCTGGGACCCTACTGTCTGAGACCCTACTGTCTGGGACCCTACTCTCTGGGACCTTACTGTCTGGGACCTGTAAGTCTGCGACCCTACTGTCTGGGACCCTACTGTCTGGGACCCCACTGTCTGCGACCCTACTGTCTGGGACCCTACTCTCTGGGAACCTACTGTCTGGGACCCTACTGTCTGGGACCCTACTGTCGGACACTGTCTGGGACCTGTAAGTCTGGGACCCTACTGTCTGGGACCCTACTGTCTGACACTGTCTGGGACCCTACTGTCTGACACTGTCTGAGACCCTACTGTCTGGGACCCTACTCTCTGGGACCTTACTGTCTGGGACCTGTAAGTCTGCGACCCTACTGTCTGGGACCCTACTGTCTGGGACCCCACTGTCTGCGACCCTACTGTCTGGGACCCTACTCTCTGGGACCCTACTGTCTGGGACCCTACTGTCTGGGACCCTACTGTCGGACACTGTCTGGGACCTGTAAGTCTGGGACCCTACTGTCTGAGACCCTACTGTCTGGGACCCTACTGTCTGAGACTCTACTGTCTGGGACCTGTAAGTCTGGGACCCTACTGTCTGGGACCCTACTGTCTGGGACCCTAATGTCTGACACTGTCTGGGACCCTACTGTCTGACACTGTCTGGGACCCTACTGTCTGGGACCCTACTGTCTGAGACCCTACTGTCTGGGACCCTACTGTCTGAGACTCTACTGTCTGGGACTCTACTGTCTGAGACACTACTGTCTGGGACCCTACTGTCTGGGACCCTACTGTCTGGGACCTTACTGTCTGGGACCCTACTGTCTGACACTGTCTGGGACCTTACTGTCTGGGACCCTACTGTCTGGGACTCTACTGTCTGACACTGTCTGGGACCCTACTGTCTGGGACTCTACTGTCTGGGACCCTACTGTCTGACACTGTCTGGGACCCTACTGTCTGGGACTCTTCTGTCTGGGACCTTACTGTCTGGGACTACTGTCTGGGACCCTACAGTCCACAACCTTTTGAATGTCAATCAACCTGTCATTTTTCAGACCCATGAAGAACTGGTTACCAAATTGATGGCTAACATTAGCCAGGTCTCCTACAAGTCTCTACCTGTCAGACTATATCAGGTGGGTGTCATATGTCAGGTGGGTGTCATATGTCAGGTGGGTGTCAGTGTCAGGAGGGTGTTCTGTGTTAGGTGTATATGACCCTGTGTCAGGTGCGTATGTCAGTGATAGTATGTTGTTGTCTCCAGATCTCCAGAAAATTCCGGGATGAAATGGCACCAAGAAACGGTCTTCTGCGTGGCCGAGAATTTGAAATGAAAGGTCAGTGAACTCATGTTAGGGGGGGGGGGTGGATGGTAGCTGTGGCACTACACTTTACTTTACTATTCCCTGACGCCCTATACCATTCCCTGATGTCCTCCGCCATTCCCTGATGTCCTCCACCATTCCCTGATGTCCTCCACCATTCCCTCATGTCCTCCACCATTCCCTCATGTCCTCCGCCATTCCCTGATGTCCTCCACCATTCCCTGATGTCCTCCACCATTCCCTCATGTCCTCCACCATTCCCTGATGTCCTCCACCATTCCCTGATGTCCTCCACCATTCCCTGATGTCCTCCACCATTCCCTCATGTCCTCCACCATTCCCTCATGTCCTCCGCCATTCCCTGATGTCCTCCACCATTCCCTGATGTCCTCCACCATTCCCTCATGTCCTCCACCATTCCCTGATGTCCTCCGCCATTCCCTGATGTCCTCCACCATTCCCTCATGTCCTCCACCATTCCCTCATGTCCTCCACCATTCCCTGGTGTCCTCCACCATTCCCTGACTGCATAAGTTTGACTTTAGTGTCAATATAAGTCTTTCTGTCAAACCAAAGGTTCCTTATCTTGCTAATTGCTGAGGTCTTTTGGACAATGCCTGTGAGTATTTTTGTTTAGCTACCTCAGATAGGATGGTGTCACAGTACTTAAAGGAGTGTGCTTTCTCAATTCTTTGACCATTTACCTCTTAATACACTGATCAGTTAATTAACAGTCAAACTGTTAAACATTTCCTCTATATCTGTCATTATACCATGTACACATTTGACAGCTTGAATATTTCAGACATGTACACATTTGACAGCTTGAATATTTCAGACATGTACACATTTGACACAAGTGAAGAGACAGCTCTAGAAACCTACCAAACTGTGTGTACAGCTTATGACAGGATTTTTGACAGACTAGCACTTCCATACACCAAAGGTAAGGAAGATAACAGGCTACGTGTGCCCAAGTTGTAAATGTGCCCAAGTTGTAAATGTGCCCAAGTTGTAAATGTGCCCAAGTTGTAAATGTGCCCAAGTTGTAAATGTGCCCAAGTTGTAAATGTGCCCATTGTAAATGCGCCCAAGTTGTAAATGTGCCCACTTTGTAAATGTGCCCAAGCTGTAAATGTGCCCAAGTTGTAAATGTGCCCAAGTTGTGAATGTGCCCAAGTTGTAAATGTGCCCAAGTTGAATGGTACAAGTGCCCAAGTTGTAAATGTGCCCAAGTTGTAAATGTGCCCAAGCTGTAAATGTGCCCAAGTTGAATGGTACAAGTGCCCAAGTTGTAAATGTGCCCAAGTTGTAAATGTGCCCAAGTTGAATGGTACAAGTGCCCAAGTTGTAAATGTGCCCAAGTTGTAAATGTGCCCAAGTTGAATGGTACAAGTGCCCAAGTTGTAAATGTGCCCAAGTTGTAAATGTGCCCAAGTTGAATGGTACAAGTGCCCAAGTTGTAAATGTGCCCAAGTGAAATGGTAGCCCATCTATTTGTCCTTGGTTTAGTGTCAGGTGCCACAGGTATGATTGGAGGAGATCTGTCCCATGAGTATCACTATCTGGCTGCTATAGGACAGGACTCACTTCTTCTGTGTCAGAGGTGAGTGGCTAGCACAACACACACCACACACATCACACACAAATCACACACAAATCACACACAAATCACACACAAATCACACACACGCCACAAACACATCACACACACACCCCACACATGCCACAAACACATCACACACACACCACACACACACACATACACCACACACACACCACAAACACATCACACACACACATCACACACACACACACACACCACACACACGCCCAAACACATCACACACACCACACACATGCTACAAACACACCACACACACGCCCAAACACATCACACCACACACATCACACCACACACATCACACACACCACAAACACATCATACACACCACACACACGCCCAAACACATCACACCACACACATCACACCACACACATCACACACCACAAACACATCACACACACCACACACACATCACACAGACACATCACACCACAAACACATCACACCAAACACACCACAAACACATCACACACACATCACACCACACACATCACACACACCACACACATGCCACAAACACATCACACACACATCACACACACACATCACACACACACATCACACACACCACACACATGCCACAAACACATCACACACACATCACACACACATCACACACACACCACAAACACATCACACACACACACACATCACACCACACACATGCCACAAACACATCACACACACCACAAACACATCACACACACATCACACCACACACATCACACACACCACAAACACATCACACACACACCACAAACACATCACACACACACATCACACCACACACATGCCACAAACACATAACACACACATCACACACACCACAAACACATCACACACACACACCACAAACACATCACACACACACCACACACACACCACAAACACATCACACACACACACCACACACACACACACCACACACACACACACCACACACACACACCACAAACACATCACACACACACATCACACACACACCACAAACACATCACACACACCACACACACACACACCACAAACACACCACACACACCACAAACACATCACACACACATCACACACACCACACACACACCACAAACACATCACACACACCACACACACATCACACACATCACACACACCACACACATGCCACAAACACATCACACACACACATCACACACACATCACACACACATCACACACACCACAAACACACACATCACACCACACACATGCCACAAACACATCACACACACCACAAACACATCACACACACACATCACACCACACACATCACACACACACACCACAAACACATCACACACACACACCACAAACACATCACACACACACATCACACACACCACAAACACATCACACACACCACAAACACATCACACACACATCACACCACACACATGCCACAAACACATCACACACACATCACACACACCACAAACACATCACACACACACACCACACACATGCCACAAACACATCACACACACACCACACACACACCACAAACACATCACACACACACACCACACACACACACACCACACACACCACAAACACATCACACACACACCACAAACACACACACCACACACACCACACACAACACACCACACACCACACACATACACATCACACACACACCACACACACACCACACACATGCCACAAACACATCACACACACCACACACACACCACAAACACATCACACACACACCACAAACACACACATCACACACACACCACACACACACCACACACATCACACACACCACACACATGCCACAAACACACACATCACACACACGTCACACACACACCACACACCACACACATCACACACACCACACACACACCACAAACACACACATGACACACACACACGTCACACACACACCACACACATCACACACACCACACACATGCCACAAACACATCACACACGCATCACACACACACCACACACATGCCACAAACACATCACACACACACACCACAAACACATCACACACACACCACACACATCTCACACACACACCACACACATGCCACAAACACATCACACACATGCCACAAACACATCACACACACATCACACACACACCACACACATGCCACAAACACATCACACACACATCACACACACACCACACACATGCCACAAACACATCACACACACACACCACACACATCACACACACACCACACACATCACACACATCACACACACACACCACACACATGCCACAAACACATCACACACATGCCACAAACACATCACACACACACCACACACATCACACACACACCACACACATGCCACAAACACATCACACACATGCCACAAACACATCACACACACACCACACACACCACACACATGCCACAAACACATCACACACATGCCACAAACACATCACACACACACCACACACATCACACACACACCACACACATGCCACAAACACATCACACACATGCCACAAACACATCACACACACATCACACACACACCACACACATCACACACACACCACACACATGCCACAAACACATCACACACATGCCACAAACACATCACACACACATCACACACACACCACACACATGCCACAAACACATCACACACACATCACACACACACCACACACATGCCACAAACACATCACACACACACACCACACACATCACACACACACCACACACATCACACACACACACCACACACATGCCACAAACACATCACACACATGCCACAAACACATCACACACACACACCACACACATCACACACACACCACACACATGCCACAAACACATCACACACATGCCACAAACACATCACACACACACCACACACATCACACACACACCACACACATGCCACAAACACATCACACACATGCCACAAACACATCACACACACACCACACACATCACACACACACCACACACATGCCACAAACACATCACACACATGCCACAAACACATCACACACATCACACACACACCACACACATCACACACACACCACACACATGCCACAAACACTTCACACACAAGCCACAAATACACAATACACCAGACATATCACAAACACACCACACACACACACACCACACACACACACACCACACACACGCCACAAAATTTGACAGAAGGCAGAGAATTAGATATTTTACTTACATGTGAAATTTTATTTATCTATCTGAAATAATACTGAAATAATACTCAAGTTATAGGCTTTTGAAAAATTCAAAGTAGAAAAAGTTCCACTTCCGGTTATCGGAAATCGCTCAAAAGTTAATATGGATCTACGATTTTGATAGAATACTTATATATGAAATTTCATCAACCTAGCTGTAACAGTACTCAAGTTATTAACTCAGGGAGGTGTAAAACTTCAAGATTTTTGTAAATCTCGATATTTTTTTTTTGCACGATTACAAGGCTTTCTCTATACTTCGTATATACTAGAAAGTAAAAACATGTATCTTAGAATTTGTAACAATTTGTTTTTACTGCCAGCCCCCCCTTAATTGGTCATTGTGTTTTAGGTGCGGGGTACAGATGAATAAAGAAATGGCTGTAGGTAGGTCATTTAAATAGCTGTAGGTAGGTCATTTAAATAGCTGTAGGTAGGTCATTTAAATAGCTGTAGGTAGGTCATTTAAATAGCTGTAGGTAGGTCATTTAAATAGCTGTAGGTAGGTCATTTAAATAGCTGTAGGTAGGTCATTTAAATAGCTGTAGGTAGGTCATTTAAATAGCTGTAGGTAGGTCATTTAAATAGCTGTAGGTAGGTCATTTAAATAGCTGTAGGTAGGTCATTTAAATAGCTGTAGGTAGGTCATTTAAATAGTTGTAGGTAGGTCATTTAAATAGCTGTAGGTAGGTCATTTAAACAGCTGTAGGTAGGTCATTTAAATAGCTGTAGGTAGGTCATTTAAATAGCTGTAGGTAGGTCATTTAAATAGCTGTAGGTAGGTCATTTAAATAGCTGTAGGTAGGTCATTTAAACCCAGATCTGTAATTGACCTCAATGTCTGACCTAGGGGTCAATGTCTTTCATTATTTTGTGTTAAGATGGCCAGTTAATGAAGATAATTAATTTTGTGTTAAGATGGCCAGTTAATGAAGATAATTAATTTTGTGTTAAGATGGCCAGTTAATGAAGATAATTAATTTTGTGTCTAGATGGCCAGTTAATGAAGATAATTAATTTTGTGTCTAGATGGCCAGTTAATGAAGATAATTAATTTTGTGTCTAGATGGCCAGTTAATGAAGATAATTAATTTTGTGTCTAGATGGCCAGTTAATGAAGATAATTAATTTTGTGTCTAGATGGCCAGTTAATGAAGATAATTAATTTTGTGTCTAGATGGCCAGTTAATGAAGATAATTAATTTTGTGTCTAGATGGCCAGTTGTCCAATGTTTGCCAACTATCGGCCCATGAGTGTGAGCTACAGGAAACAAAAGGAATTGAGGTCAAATTTTTGTCTGGTCAAACTTTTGTCTGGTCAAATTTGTGTCTGTCATTAAACTCATGCTGTACTATCTAGTCTGTCATTAAACTCATGCTGTACTATCTAGTCTGTCATTAAACTCATGCTGTACTATCTAGTCTGTCATTAAACTCATGCTGTACTATCTAGTCTGTCATTAAACTCATGCTGTACTATCTAGTCTGTCATTAAACTCATGCTGTACTATCTAGTCTGTCATTAAACTCATGCTGTACTGTCTAGTCTGTCATTAAACTCATGCTGTACTATCTAGTCTGTCATTAAACTCATGCTGTACCATCTGGTCTGTCATTAAACTCATGCTGTACTATCTAGTCTGTCATTAAACTCATGCTGTACTATCTAGTCTGTCATTAAATTTTAACAGTTATGCAATATAGAACATTGTATGAACTATGTAATTCTTATACAGTCTTGCATGAAAGATATTTTTGTTAAAACTTGTAGGATGTAGTATGACAGATGTGGTACCATGTAGTATGACAGATGTGGTACCATGTAGTATGACAGATGTGGTACCATGTAGTATGACAGATGTGGTACCATGTAGTATGACAGACGTTGTACCATGTAGTATGACAGATGTGGTACCATGTAGTATGACAGATGTGGTACCATGTAGTATGACAGATGTGGTACCATGTAGTATGACAGATGTTGTACCATGTAGTATGACAGATGTGGTACCATGTAGTATGACAGATGTGGTACCATGTAGTATGACAGATGTGGTACCATGTAGTATGACATATGTACCATGTAGTATGACAGATGTTGTACCATGTAGTATGACAGATGTTGTATCATGTAGTATGACAGATGTTGTACCATGTAGTATGACATATGTTGTACCATGTTGTATGACAGATGTTGTATCATGTAGCATGACAGATGTACCATGTAGTATGACATATGTACCATGTAGTATGACAGATGTTGTACCATGTAGTATGACAGATGTTGTACCATGTAGTATGACAGATGTTGTACCATGTAGTATGACAGATGTTGTACCATGTAGTATGACAGATGTTGTACCATGTAGTATGACAGATGTTGTACCATGTAGTATGACAGATGTACCATGTAGTATGACAGATGTACCATGTAGTATGACAGATGTTGTACCATGTAGTATGACAGATGTTGTACCATGTAGTATGACAGATGTGGTACCATGTAGTATGACAGATGTGGTACCATGTAGTATGACAGATGTGGTACCATGTAGTATGACAGATGTTGTACCATGTAGTATGACAGATGTTGTACCATGTAGAATGACAGATGTGGTACCATGTAGTATGACAGATGTTGTACCATGTAGTATGACAGATGTTGTACCATGTAGTATGGCAGATGTTGTACCATGTAGTATGACAGATGTTGTACCATGTAGTATGACAGATGTTGTACCATGTAGTATGACAGATGTTGTACCATGTAGTATGACAGATGTGGTACCATGTAGTATGACAGATGTTGTACCATGTAGTATGACAGATGTGGTATCATGTAGTATGACAGATGTTGTACCATGTAGTATGACAGATGTTGTACCATGTAGTATGACAGATGTTGTATCATGTAGTATAACAGATGTTGTACCATGTAGTATGATAGATGTGGTACCATGTAGTATGACAGATGTGGTACCATGTAGTATGACAGATGTGGTACCATGTAGTATGACAGATGTTGTACCATGTAGTATGACAGATGTTGTACCATGTAGTATGACAGATGTTGTACCATGTAGTATGACAGATGTTGTACCATGTAGTATGACAGATGTACCATGTAGTATGACAGATGTACCATGTAGTATGACAGATGTTGTACCATGTAGTATGACAGATGTTGTACCATATAGTATGACAGATGTTGTACCATGTAGTATGACAGATGTGGTACCATGTAGTATGACAGATGTTGTACCATGTAGTATGACAGATGTGGTACCATGTAGTATGACAGATGTGGTACCATGTAGTATGACAGATGTGGTACCATGTAGTATGACAGATGTTGTACCATGTAGTATGACAGATGTTGTACCATGTAGTATGACAGATGTACCATGTAGTATGACAGATGTGGTACCATGTAGTATGACAGATGTTGTACCGTGTAGTATGACAGATGTTGTACCGTGTAGTATGACAGATGTTGTACCATGTAGTATGACAGATGTGGTACCATGTAGTATGACAGATGTGGTACCATGTAGTATGACAGATGTGGTACCATGTAGTATGACAGATGTTGTACCATGTAGTATGACAGATGTTGTACCATGTAGAATGACAGATGTTGTACCACGTAGTATGACAGATGTTGTACCATGTAGTATGACAGATGTTGTACCATGTAGTATGACAGATGTGGTACCATGTAGTATGACAGATGTAGTACCATGTAGTATGACAGATGTTGTACCATGTAGTATGACATATGTTGTACCATGTTGTATGACAGATGTTGTATCATGTAGCATGACAGATGTACCATGTAGTATGACATATGTACCATGTAGTATGACAGATGTTGTACCATGTAGTATGACAGATGTTGTACCATGTAGTATGACAGATGTTGTACCATGTAGTATGACAGATGTTGTACCATGTAGTATGACAGATGTTGTACCATGTAGTAAGACAGATGTTGTACCATGTAGTATGACAGATGTACCATGTAGTATGACAGATGTACCATGTAGTATGACAGATGTTGTACCATGTAGTATGACAGATGTTGTACCATGTAGTATGACAGATGTGGTACCATGTAGTATGACAGATGTGGTACCATGTAGTATGACAGATGTGGTACCATGTAGTATGACAGATGTTGTACCATGTAGTATGACAGATGTTGTACCATGTAGAATGACAGATGTGGTACCATGTAGTATGACAGATGTTGTACCATGTAGTATGACAGATGTTGTACCATGTAGTATGACAGATGTTGTACCATGTAGTATGACAGATGTTGTACCATGTAGTATGACAGATGTTGTACCATGTAGTATGACAGATGTTGTACCATGTAGTATGACAGATGTGGTACCATGTAGTATGACAGATGTTGTACCATGTAGTATGACAGATGTGGTACCATGTAGTTTGACAGATGTACCATGTAGTATGACAGATGTTGTACCATGTAGTATGACAGATGTGGTACCATGTAGTATGACAGATGTGGTACCATGTAGTATGACAGATGTTGTACCATGTAGAATGACAGATGTGGTACCATGTAGAATGACAGATGTGGTACCATGTAGTATGACAGATGTTGTACCATGTAGTATGACAGATGTTGTACCATGTAGTATGACAGATGTTGTACCATGTAGTATGACAGATGTTGTACCATGTAGTATGACAGATGTTGTACCATGTAGTATGACAGATGTGGTACCATGTAGTATGACAGATGTTGTACCATGTAGTATGACAGATGTGGTACCATGTAGTTTGACAGATGTACCATGTAGTATGACAGATGTTGTACCATGTAGTATGACAGATGTGGTACCATGTAGTATGACAGATGTACCATGTAGTATGACAGATGTTGTACCATGTAGTATGACAGATGTAGTACCATGTAGTGTGACAGATGTTGTACCATGTAGTATGACAGATGTTGTATCATGTAGTATGACAGATGTTGTACCATGTAGTATGACAGATGTGGTACCATGTAGTATGACAGATGTACCATGTAGTATGACAGATGTTGTACCATGTAGTATGACAGATGTAGTACCATGAAGTGTGACAGATGTTGTACCATGTAGTATGACAGATGTTGTACCATGTAGTATGACAGATGTGGTACCATGTAGTATGACAGATGTTGTATCATGTAGTATGACAGATGTGGTACCATGTAGTATGACAGATGTTGTACCATGTAGTATGACAGATGTTGTACCATGTAGTATGACAGATGTTGTACCATGTAGTATGACAGATGTTGTACCATGTAGTATGACAGATGTTGTACCATGTAGTATGACAGATGTGATACCATGTAGTATTACAGATGGTGTACCATGTAGTATGACAGATGTTGTACCATGTAGTATGACAGATGTTGTACCATGTAGTATGACAGATGTGGTACCATGTAGTATGACAGATGTTGTATCATGTAGTATGACAGATGTTGTACCATGTAGTATGACAGATGTTGTACCATGTAGTATGACAGATGTTGTACCATGTAGCATGACAGATGTACCATGTAGTATGACAGATGTACCATGTAGTATGACAGATGTTGTACCATGTAGTATGACAGATGTTGTACCATGTAGTATGACAGATGTGGTACCATGAAGTATGACAGATGTACCATGTAGTATGACAGATGTTTTACCATGTAGTATGACAGATGTGGTACCATGTAGTATGACAGATGTTGTACCATGTAGTATGACAGATGTTGTACCATGTAGTATGACAGATGTTGTACCGTGTAGTATGACATATGTTGTACCATGTAGTATGACAGATGTGGTACCATGTAGTATGACAGATGTGGTACCATGTAGTATGACAGATGTGGTACCATGTAGTATGACAGATGTTGTACCATGTAGTATGACAGATGTTGTACCATGTAGTATGACAGATGTACCATGTAGTATGACAGATGTACCATGTAGTATGACAGATGTACCATGTAGTATGACAGATGTTGTACCATGTAGTATTACAGATGTGGTACCATGTAGTATGACAGATGTTGTACCATGTAGTATGACAGATGTTGTACCATGTAGTATGACAGGTGTGGTACCATGTAGTATGACAGATGTGGTACCATGTAGTATGACAGATGTTGTACCATGAAGTATGACAGATGTGGTACCATGTAGTATGACAGATGTGGTACCATGTAGTATGACAGATGTACCATGTAGTATGACAGATGTACCATGTAGTATGACAGATGTTGTACCATGTAGTATGACAGATGTGGTACCATGAAGTTCTCCAATGATGTGTCCACAGGTAGGCCACACCTTCTATCTAGGCACCAAATATTCTTCAATCTTCCAGGCTACATACAGGTCTCAGGACTCTAAGCTGATGTAAGTCTGTCAGTCAGGTGTTGGCCTGTCATGATGTCTGTCAGTCAGGTGTTGGGCTGTCATGATGTAAGTCTGTCAGTCAGGTGTTGGTCTGACATGATGTCTGTCAGTCAGGTGTTGGTCTGTCATGATGTAAGTCTGTCAGTCAGGTGTTGGTCTGTCATGATTTCTGTCAGTCAGGTGTTGGTCTGTCATGATGTCTGTCAGTCAGGTTTTGGTCTGTCATGATGTAAGTCTGTCAGTCAGGTGTTGGTCTGTCATCATGTAAGTCAGTCAGGTGTTGGTCTGTCATGATGTCTGTCAGTCAGGTGTTGGTCTGTCATGATGTCTGTCAGTCAGGTTTTGGTCTGTCATGATGTAAGTCTGTCAGTCAGGTGTTGGTCTGTCATGATTTCTGTCAGTCAGGTGTTGGTCTGTCATGATGTCTGTCAGTCAGGTGTTGGTCTGTCATGATGTCTGTCAGTCAGGTGTTGGTCTGTCATGATGTCTGTCAGTCAGGTGTTGGTCTGTCATGATGTCTGTCAGTCAGGTGTTGGTCTGTCATGATTTCTGTCAGTCAGGTGTTGGTCTGTCATGATGTAAGTCTGTCAGTCAGGTGTTGGTCTGTCATGATGTCTGTCAGTCAGGTGTTGGTCTGTCATGATGTAAGTCTGTCAGTTAGGTTTTGGTCTGTCATGATGTCTGTCAGTCAGGTGTTGGTCTGTCATGATTTCTGTCAGTCAGGTGTTGGTCTGTCATGATGTCTGTCAGTCAGGTGTTGGTCTGTCATGATTTCTGTCAGTCAGGTGTTGGTCTGTCATGATTTCTGTCAGTCAAGTGTTGGTCTGTCATGATGTAAGTCTTACATTTAGTGAGCTGGCTAATGTAATGAGCTGGCTAATGTAATGAGCTGGCTAATGTAATGAGCTGGCTAATGTAATGAGGTGGTTAATGTAATGAGGTGGCTAATGTAATGAGGTGGCTAATGTAATGAGCTGGCTAATGTAATGAGCTGGCTAATGTAATGAGCTGGCTAATGTAATGAGCTGGCTAATGTAATGAGCTGGCTAATGTAATGAGCTGGCTAATGTAATGAGGTGGCTAATGTAATGAGCTGGCTAATGTAATGAGCTGGCTAATGTAATGAGGTGGCTAATGTAATGAGCTGGCTAATGTAATGAGCTGGCTAATGTAATGAGCTGGCTAATGTAATGAGCTGGCTAATGTAATGAGGTGGCTAATGTAATGAGCTGGCTAATGTAATGAGGTGGCTAATGTAATGAGCTGGCTAATGTAATGAGCTGGCTAATTGGTGAGTACTTTCAGTGAGTACAGTATGGGCTGCTATGGACTTGGTATGACCAGGATCCTGCAAGCCGCTGTGGAAAAGTTGTCAACAGAAACCAGTCTACGCTGGCCACGGATCATCGCACCCTTCCAGATCTGCATCATCCCTAAAAAGGTAAATACTTGATGTGAGGACTTGATGTGAGAACTTGATGTGAGGACTTGATGTGAGAACTTGATGTGAGGACTTGATGTGAGAACTTGATGTGAGGACTTGATGTGAGAACTTGATGTAAGAACTTGATGTGAGGACTTGATGTGAGAACTTGATGTGAGGACTTGATGTGAGGGAGAACTTGATGTGAGAACTTGATGTGAGAACTTGATGTGAGAACTTGATGTGAGAACTTGATGTGAGAACTTGATGTGAGGACTTGATGTACAAATATTTGATGGATAACTGCTCAGTTGATGTGTCATATGGGAGTGGTGGGAGGGCATGTGGTTGCCAAAAGTTAAAACTGAGCTCAGCAACCACTGGATACTTCAACAACCACTGGATACTTCAACAACCACTGGATACTTCAACAACCACTGGATACTTCAGCAACCACTGGATACTTCAACAACCACTGGATACTTCAACAACCACTGGATACTTCAACAACCACTGGATACTTCAACAACCACTGGATACTTCAACAACCACTGGATACTTCAGCAACCACTGGATACTTCAACAACCACTGGATACTTCAACAACCACTGGATACTTCAACAACCACTGGATACTTCAACAACCACTGGATACTTCAACAACCACTGGATACTTCAACAACCACTGGATACTTCAACAACCACTGGATACTTCAACAACCACTGGATACTTCAACAACCACTGGATACTTCAACAACCACTGGATACTTCAACAACCACTGGATACTTCAACAACCACTGGATACTTCAACAACCACTGGATACTTCAACAACCACTGGATACTTCAACAATCACTGGATACTTCAACAACCACTGGATACTTCAACAACCACTGGATACTTCAACAACCACTGGATACTTCAACAACTGCAGATTGTTCTTGATGGGAAAAGACAAGGGAAGCAAATCCAGAAAAATAACAGTAGAGAGATGTGTGAATATGTGAGTGATAAAATCTGGGTAGATGTGTGAATATGTGAGTGATAAAATCTGGGTAGATGTGTGAATATGTGAGTGATGAAATCTGGGTTGATGTGTGAATATGTGAGTGATAAAATCTGGGTAGATGTGTGAATATGTGAGTGATAAAATCTGGGTTGATGTGTGAATATGTGAGTGATAAAATCTGGGTAGATGTGTGAATATGTGAGTGATAAAATCTGGGTAGATGTGTGAATATGTGAGTGATAAAATCTGGGTTGATGTGTGAATATGTGAGTGATAAAATCTGGGTAGATGTGTGAATATGTGAGTGATAAAATCTGGGTTGATGTGTGAATATGTGAGTGATAAAATCTGGGTAGATGTGTGAATATGTGAGTGATAAAATCTGGGTTGATGTGTGAATATGTGAGTGATAAAATCTGGGTAGATGTGTGAATATGTGAGTGATAAAATCTGGGTTGATGTGTGAATATGTGAGTGATAAAATCTGGGTTGATGTGTGAATATGTGAGTGATAAAATCTGGGTTGATGTGTGAATATGTGAGTGATAAAATCTGGGTTGATGTGTGAATATGTGAGTGATAAAATCTGGGTTGATGTGTGAATATGTGACTGATAAAATCTGGGTTGATGTGTGAATATGTGAGTGATAAAATCTGGGTTGATGTGTGAATATGTGAGTGATAAAATCTGAGTTGAGCCGTGATTTGTGTGTGATAACATCTATGTTGACCTGTGATTTGTGTGTGATAACATCTATGTTGACCTGTGATTTGTGTGTGATAACATCTATGTTGACCTGTGATTTGTGTGTGATAACATCTGTTGACCTGTGATTTGTGTGTGATAACATCTATGTTGACCTGTGATTTGTATGTGATAACATCTGTTGACCTGTGATTTGTGTGTGATAACATCTATGTTGACCTGTGATTTGTGTGTGATAACATCTGTTGAGCTGTGATTTGTGTGTGATAACATCTATGTTGACCTGTGATTTGTGTGTGATAACATCTGTTGACCTGTGATTTGTGTGTGATAACATCTATGTTGACCTGTGATTTGTGTGTGATAACATCTATGTTGACCTGTGATTTGTGTGTGATAACATCTATGTTGAGCTGTGATTTGTGTGTGATAACATCTATGTTGACCTGTGATTTGTGTGTGATAACATCTAGTTGACCTGTGATTTGTGTGTGATAACATCTATGTTGAGCTGTGATTTGTGTGTGATAACATCTATGTTGACCTGTGATTTGTGTGTGATAACATCTATGTTGACCTGTGATTTGTGTGTGATAACATCTATGTTGAGCTGTGATTTGTGTGTGATAACATCTGTTGACCTGTGATTTGTGTGTGATAACATCTGTTGACCTGTGATTTGTGTGTGATAACATCTGTTGACCTGTGATTTGTGTGTGATAACATCTATGTTGAGCTGTGATTTGTGTGTGATAACATCTATGTTGACCTGTGATTTGTATGTGATAACATCTGTTGACCTGTGATTTGTGTGATAACATCTATGTTGAGCTGTGATTTGTGTGTGATAACATCTATGTTGACCTGTGATTTGTATGTGATAACATCTATGTTGACCTGTGATTTGTATGTGATAACATCTGTTGACCTGTGATTTGTATGTGATAACATCTGTTGACCTGTGATTTGTGTGTGATAACATCTGTTGACCTGTGATTTGTGTGATAACATCTATGTTGACCTGTGATTTGTGTGTGATAACATCTATGTTGACCTGTGATTTGTGTGTGATAACATCTGTTGACCTGTGATTTGTATGTGATAACATCTGTTGACCTGTGATTTGTGTGATAACATCTATGTTGAGCTGTGATTTGTGTGTGATAACATCTATGTTGACCTGTGATTTGTATGTGATAACATCTATGTTGACCTGTGATTTGTATGTGATAACATCTGTTGACCTGTGATTTGTATGTGATAACATCTGTTGACCTGTGATTTGTGTGTGATAACATCTGTTGACCTGTGATTTGTGTGATAACATCTATGTTGACCTGTGATTTGTGTGTGATAACATCTATGTTGACCTGTGATTTGTGTGTGATAACATCTGTTGACCTGTGATTTGTATGTGATAACATCTGTTGACCTGTGATTTGTGTGTGATAACATCTATGTTGACCTGTGATTTGTGTGTGATAACATCTATGTTGACCTGTGATTTGTGTGTGATAACATCTATGTTGACCTGTGATTTGTGTGTGATAACATCTGTTGACCTGTGATTTGTGTGTGATAACATCTGTTGACCTGTGATTTGTATGTGATAACATCTATGTTGACCTGTGATTTGTGTTTGATAACATCTATGTTGACCTGTGATTTGTATGTGATAACATCTGTTGACCTGTGATTTGTATGTGATAACATCTGTTGACCTGTGATTTGTGTGTGATAACATCTGTTGACCTGTGATTTGTGTGTGATAACATCTATGTTGACCTGTGATTTGTGTGTGATAACATCTGTTGACCTGTGATTTGTGTGTGATAACATCTATGTTGACCTGTGATTTGTATGTGATAACATCTGTTGACCTGTGATTTGTGTGTGATAACATCTATGTTGACCTGTGATTTGTGTGTGATAACATCTATGTTGACCTGTGATTTGTGTGTGATAACATCTGTTGACCTGTGATTTGTGTGTGATAACATCTATATTGACCTGTGATTTGTGTGTGATAACATCTATGTTGACCTGTGATTTGTGTGTGATAACATCTATGTTGAGCTGTGATTTGTGTGTGATAACATCTATGTTGAGCTGTGATTTGTGATTGATAACATCTGTTGACCTGTGATTTGTGTGTGATAACATCTATGTTGACCTGTGATTTGTGTGTGATAACATCGATGTTGACCTGTGATTTGTGTGTGATAACATCTATGTTGACCTGTGATTTGTGTGTGATAACATCTATGTTGACCTGTGATTTGTGTGATAACATCTATGTTGACCTGTGATTTGTGTGTGATAACATCTGTTGACCTGTGATTTGTGTGTGATAACATCTGTTGACCTGTGATTTGTGTGTGATAACATCTATGTTGACCTGTGATTTGTATGTGATAACATCTGTTGACCTGTGATTTGTGTGTGATAACATCTGTTGACCTGTGATTTGTGTGTGATAACATCGATGTTGACCTGTGATTTGTGTGTGATAACATCTATGTTGACCTGTGATTTGTGTGTGATAACATCTATGTTGAGCTGTGATTTGTGTGTGATAACATCTGTTGACCTGTGATTTGTGTGTGATAACATCTATGTTGACCTGTGATTTGTGTGTGATAACATCTATGTTGAGCTGTGATTTGTGTGTGATAACATCTATGTTGACCTGTAATTTGTGTGTGATAACATCTATGTTGACCTGTGATTTGTGTGTGATAACATCTATGTTGACCTGTGATTTGTGTGTGATAACATCTATGTTGACCTGTGATTTGTGTGTGATAACATCTATGTTGACCTGTGATTTGTGTGTGATAACATCTATGTTGACCTGTGATTTGTGTGTGATAACATCTATGTTGACCTGTGATTTGTGTGTGATAACATCTATGTTGACCTGTGATTTGTGTGTGATAACATCTATGTTGACCTGTGATTTGTGTGTGATAACATCTGTTGACCTGTGATTTGTGTGTGATAACATCTATGTTGACCTGTGATTTGTGTGTGATAACATCTATGTTGACCTGTGATTTGTGTGTGATAACATCTATGTTGACCTGTGATTTGTGTGTGATAACATCTATGTTGACCTGTGATTTGTGTGTGATAACATCTGTTGACCTGTGATTTGTGTGTGATAACATCTGTTGACCTGTGATTTGTGTGTGATAACATCTATGTTGAGCTGTGATTTGTGTGTGATAACATCTGTTGACCTGTGATTTGTGTGTGATAACATCTATGTTGACCTGTGATTTGTGTGTGATAACATCTATGTTGACCTGTGATTTGTGTGTGATAACATCTATGTTGACCTGTGATTTGTGTGTGATAACATCTATGTTGACCTGTGATTTGTGTGTGATAACATCTATGTTGACCTGTGATTTGTGTGTGATAACATCTATGTTGACCTGTGATTTGTGTGTGATAACATCTGTTGACCTGTGATTTGTGTGTGATAACATCTATGTTGACCTGTGATTTGTGTGTGATAACATCTATGTTGACCTGTGATTTGTGTGTGATAACATCTATGTTGACCTGTGATTTGTGTGTGATAACATCTATGTTGACCTGTGATTTGTGTGTGATAACATCTATGTTGAGCTGTGATTTGTGTGTGATAACATCTATGTTGACCTGTGATTTGTGTGTGATAACATCTGTTGACCTGTGATTTGTGTGTGATAACATCTATGTTGACCTGTGATTTGTGTGTGATAACATCTGTTGACCTGTGATTTGTGTGTGATAACATCTATGTTGACCTGTGATTTGTGTGTGATAACATCTATGTTGAGCTGTGATTTGTGTGTGATAACATCTATGTTGACCTGTGATTTGTGTGTGATAACATCTGTTGACCTGTGATTTGTGTGTGATAACATCTGTTGACCTGTGATTTGTGTGTGATAACATCTATGTTGACCTGTGATTTGTGTGTGATAACATCTGTTGACCTGTGATTTGTGTGTGATAACATCTGTTGACCTGTGATTTGTGTGTGATAACATCTATGTTGACCTGTGATTTGTGTGTGATAACATCTATGTTGACCTGTGATTTGTGTGTGATAACATCTATGTTGACCTGTGATTTGTGTGATAACATCTATGTTGACCTGTGATTTGTATGTGATAACATCTGTTGACCTGTGATTTGTGTGTGATAACATCTATGTTGACCTGTGATTTGTGTGTGATAACATCTGTTGACCTGTGATTTGTGTGTGATAACATCTGTTGACCTGTGATTTGTGTGTGATAACATCTATGTTGACCTGTGATTTGTGTGTGATAACATCTATGTTGACCTGTGATTTGTGTGATAACATCTATGTTGAGCTGTGATTTGTGTGTGATAACATCTATGTTGACCTGTGATTTGTGTGTGATAACATCTATGTTGACCTGTGATTTGTGTGATAACATCTATGTTGACCTGTGATTTGTGTGTGATAACATCTGTTGACCTGTGATTTGTATGTGATAACATCTATGTTGACCTGTGATTTGTGTGTGATAACATCTGTTGACCTGTGATTTGTGTGTGATAACATCTGTTGACCTGTGATTTGTGTGTGATAACATCTATGTTGACCTGTGATTTGTGTGTGATAACATCTATGTTGACCTGTGATTTGTGTGTGATAACATCTATGTTGACCTGTGATTTGTGTGATAACATCTATGTTGACCTGTGATTTGTGTGTGATAACATCTGTTGACCTGTGATTTGTGTGTGATAACATCTATGTTGACCTGTGATTTGTAT